TGTCACGGTGACCGAAGAACAAAAATCTTTATAACCACTTCTTCCAACAGCAGCATAAACAAAGGAAATTAGAACGACTTACAGAGAGTAAACAGTACAGACTGTCAGACTGAGTGGCATCCAGACAGGATATACACAGAGACCAACACAATAAACCGACAAAGAAAATAAAGGGTTTGGTGATTGTTTATGAAATTATGTCAAACTGAATGGGACCAGTCGGACGAGTTGAACAGTCTGCTAAAATGATAATGCCAATATGACATATACATTGATGAGCAAGTGAAACTGTACTCAAATTTAAACGTACCTAAATACAAATTGATGACTAGTAGGGTTGCTAATTGTTTTTAAGCGTTGTGTACAAAAGGAGTGCCAATCTTTCTAAGGTTAGTGTGCTTGTACATACTGATATAAAACCTCCGAACCCTGTGTACTGAACAAAATAAAGATCAAACAGGAAAGCCCCGAGCTTATCAAAGCTCTTCATATCAACTGCTTGAATAAATATTTATTTGACAGCGATACGGTCGAGTGATAGCACTTTTTATCCGCGGCGCATGGGTTCATAGAATCGCCTTACTGGCACCGCGTATACACACGCTACCTCCCCAACCGACGATCAAAGTCTTGTACCCAGTCCACATGTATGGTAATAATTGTTGAAAAAAGCATGGTCCTTCATACAGACAGAATGAAATTGATGAGGCCATTTGGCCTGAACCCAAAAGTACACACGCCTCCAGTGCATGTCAATTTATGGACTTAATTACAGACTATGAAATTAACGAGACACGTCCAACGGCTTTCTCTTAATACCATTCCCGTTCTATAATTTTGATTTTTAATTCATAAACAACTACTGGAATTGCACGGTAAAATTTGCATTTTGATTGTTATGGTAATTCAGAAACAAAGGAAATTCAAAGATGAACTTTTCGTTTCGTACTGCATTCGTCATATTACAGGAGTGTATTAACGATGGAGGTTGACCAGCCTGTAGAATTAGTACCCACTTTAGCTGTCACATACCTGGTCAGAGTTTAGGTTTTTATTTCAAATGACATTAAAGGCCATTAAAATGAATCAAGACGTTGAATAATTCATCAAAAACACCAGCGACTACGGAGTTTACTTGGCGGTCAGCAGGTGTTGATCGGTCCGTTTATCCCCCGGGGACCGGACATGATGAAAGACAAGACCGCTAGGCAAGGAGACACAAGACGGATTCAGTCTACCGGGACAAACAAGCTATTGAAAGAAACTCTTTACACATTATGGGTGGTGACTGAGTCCAACGATAATCGAGCACGCAATGTCTATCGAAATGAGGTAGTATTTTCATCTCCGTGGTATGTCCGTGGCGTATTTGAGTTTACAATGAAATATTCAGACTAACAAAACAACATCATTCTGATGTGACTTTGCTCCACACATTATAGACTCTTTCCCAGTCCCCCAGTGCCCTTGAGACTCGACCGGAAGTGAGCAAATAACCCAAAGAGGAATTATTCGGAGTTTCTGCAACATCAGGACATATTTGCATTTTCCTCGTTGACAGAACAAAAATGAAATATGCACCACCAATGAATGTGGTAATATTTGAAAAAAAAAATTGGTCAAAATATTCAATAACTTGTTTGAGACAAGACTTGCTGGAACCTTATTAGGAAAACATTCAAAATATGGCGAAGTAAGTTCGCAGTGCCATTTGTGAAAGTTAATCATCTAGCGACGTTGATTATTGTAAACATATCTAACAACAGAACAGTGATACCAGAAGCATTCCTAGAAACTCTAACGTTGATAAGGGTCCCTTACTTTTGGAAGCAGGAACTGCCCTACCAATTGAACGCCTTTGGCGGCCATCTGAGGTCGTCTTTTCCAAATTTAGAATTTGAAAGGGCGGAGGAAAATAGCTAGGCTTGTGAAGTGGTGGCACATTAGAAAGTTTATCATATTTCCAAGGGAGCTATACTGTTGCTTCTTTTCATTTCATTGGTACTTCTCTGAATGTTTTGAACATCTTGAAAACCTTAATCTAAGTTCAAACTGTAGTTAATTTCAAAGTCAGTTTTTTTCTCTTCAATTATTTGTCTTTCAAATGACGCGGAGGCCCCCAAAGGAAGAGGGCCCCGTTTTAGGAAGACGTTTACCATAACGTCGAAGTATTGCGACGGAATTTTGCTTAAGTCATTCTTTTCTCCACAAGTTTGCAGAGGGAACAGTGTTGTTGCCTAAAGCTAAAAATAATGTTCATGATCCAAGCAACAAATGGTGTAGACGGAAACCTGCAAGGACACAGCCGGTAAAATAATGCGTAATGACAGACACATCTGGACCAATAAAACAAGTGGCGCCCTTGTGGAAAAAAAAAGAAACAAACACACGCGCTGAACACCCGCACATGGATCATGTACTCAAAAAGACTGGCAAAGCAAAGGGGAAAGTGCAACAGGGACGAGACAAACGACTAAAAAAACCAGTCGAGCAAGCGTTCTTCTGCATCTTGGTAAACTCCAGAGCAACATGGATGACCCTAAGGTCCCTAATATGTCAACTGAGAGCGGTAAGGCCGTCGAGAGAGTAAGCCGTTTGCCGACTATCTATGGCCCGCTGTTCATATGACAATGATTACTAAACCAAATGGTACGGATGGCAAGAATGTATGAAAACAACATGCAACTGCTGGAACATTTTACTGAATGACGTGATATAAACATCTACCAAGAGAGGACAATTATAAAGCGTAGTTAAAGACAGGGTATCCAAAATTCTGATTGGACACAAGTTCAAGAACTCGCCTGAATTGCTCTTCCGGTCCAACCAAAGTACAAACCCCAATTCAAGGATCAGTGACGGCTACAGGCAACTATTCATGTCCATATTCGCGCTTAACAAAATCATCCACTTTTATTCAACCAAGACCTGATAATTCACAGACTCGAAAGTCATCTTAGGTGATCGAATAACTGGTGTCAACCCGGGTCACTTGAGTCTACCGCTGGGTTATCAAAACTCTATTACGCCAACCGCAGATGACTTGAAAAGATGTGAAGTAGCAAGACATCAAAACCCATCTGGAATTCCACACAGCTCTAGAGGAGAAGCCGACTTGTTCAAAGGCTCAAGTCGTATCTATTCGACGCTTTCATGAGCTCAACTGGGATTTTACTCGCTGTCACATTGGATAAGACTTTGCGGTAACTGATTCCGCACAGCCAACCCAAAATACGCTGGGGTTTACTAGAGCGAATGAATTGGAAATGGAAAATGTAAACCACGTTTCGAAATTCGTATTTAAAAAACAAACAAAACAAGACTAAAAACATAGAGAAGTCACCAACTTCCTCAAGAATTCCCTTTCATTCCCCCACTACTTACTGTCTAAACTTAGACTCAGTCATAAAGAAAAAACCCGGGGATTTATTTATTTCGAGATGCAACGCAATTTCTGTAATATTGCATCCGCATCAACAACCACTTAACCCGCCATCTTTGCTATAACAAACCAACATATACCAGCTTTGCCCATAATAAGACAGAGACAATGGAAATTTCACGGTCTATGATTAATGAGAAGAAAATCTTTAATATAAGTGGTATGTTGCAAGAAAATCTACACCAGAGTATCTCGGATTCTGTGGCTTTGCCAAATGGCGCCACGGGGATTAATGAATTATCAACAGAAATGGCGCCATCGTAACGCTCAATTTGATATTAATATTACAGTCCAAAATCAACTTCCACTTCCCATTTGCTTAAAAATAAAAACCAGACGTCTCTTTGTCTAGCCAGAGTTTACAGTGTAATTATAGCTTCCTACTTTCGGACAGTTTAGTGGAAAATGTTACTAAAATGATTCAACGATCGACGTACTTTCAGCAACAAATTAATGAAACGCGAGAAAATACTCAGGAAATAAATTGGGAAGATTCATCAAATGTAGGTCTACTTTGTGCTTATCTTAATGTTGTAAGAATCGTGTAGTAATTAGTGTGTTATAAACTTTCCAAAATCATTATCTCCTTCATCCATAACTTTAAGACTTCCTCATTAAGATTGTATTAATTTCTTTTCTAGTTTCATAAGTAGTTTATTGTCAACCGATTGTTCCTGTAATTGTGTGTCTTGGGTTGTATTTGGGTTCAAAGTTTTTCTCTTGGGTTTATCCGTAAATATATATATGTATAAATTGGGCAATAACATGCAAAACGTAAGATAGATCAGCTGAATATGACTGATTCGTTGTTCTCTGTTAAAGAATAGCGTAATCCCTCAACGTTCTGCTGACGTTTCGTTTCGTTTCATTTTAAAAACATTTAAAAAATAAAAATCTAACTGTTCTTTTCTTGCCTTGTATTGTCGCACTTCAATCGATTGAGGGCGCTATGTAAATATCAACAAGTGATAATTTCTTTCGTCAACCATGCAACAGTCGTTAGCTGATTGACCGACACACACCGACTGGCAGTCGGTACTACCAGGCAGTCCCGGCAACGTGGCATGTTTGCGAGCGCTGTTCCCCATATTTCACGGCGGCGTCGATTGTTCTAGGTTAACACGCGCTGTCGGTAAATCATTCACATCAACCAACCAGACGACAGTGGTATGCTGACGGATTAAGCCTGACATGAACACGCTAATCGAAAGGATTTTAAGTTTGATCTTTTACGCAATAAAAACCACCTCCAATGGAATCTAGGGAACAACTTTTGTCCCTCATATAATAGACTCCTCCGTTGTTTAAAAACAAATGATAACGATGAAAAGGGCCTCATTTTTGTGTTACCCTTCCATCACTTTCTTATCGTGTTTCGATACGTTTACTATCAACTACAGTGAAAAATACATGTCAAGTAGATTTGGGTAGCATTTCTCATTGCATCACCCTATATACAGGATGACAACAATCCTCATTTCATTAACAAATCGTTTCGGCATCCACTTCAGGAGTATAATTTAGTATGTTATTTAATGCTATGAAATATCAAACTTACCCAATGTATCAGCACTATTTTTAACCTCTGCTTCGTCTTTAAAGTTGCACATACTTTCAAAGCAACAGGACAGTTCTTGGTATTGCGAGGACGTCTCAGACGGCACATCTGTTGTTCCATTGTTCAAGCGAGATATCTCCTCACATTTCTCCAATGTGATGGATTCGATACAACCATGGAGGTACGGGTCGTTAGTGTTCCCTTTGTGGTCGACCAGGAAGGAATAACACCCGATTTGTGATTTGCACATGTAGTTACTCGATGAACATCTTGGCGAGTTACAGTAACAGTGGACCTCACCTGTAAAACAGGGAAAGTAGAGATAATCACCTCTATGATCGCATCAACTTTCTGACTTAGTTTAGACACTATTTGTCTTTGGATGAAACAGAGAATTCCAAGAATGATTTGAATGTAACAATGATTTATGGAAAACCTGTCGCACACAGACTCCTGTACGTTGAGATCAAACTACTCACATTCCTGTCTTGAAACTGTAAGAAAAAAAAACTGTAAAATGCAATTCATTGTAAACAATTGATCACAATAAATCTTAGCTAGCACCAAGAAGAGAATTATTCCCAATTCCTCAGTTGTGCTGTAATCTAGTTGAGAATTTCTATTCTGAAATCCATACTAAAATACATTTCTGTATTTCAACCGCTGTTGTCTTTCGACAGTGCTACAGGTTGGGCCGTCTGTGTACCATTTTGGTTTCCCAGTATAACATTTTATATGATTTGAATAGTTTCAAATCGACTGGAAAACCTATAAATCTTTTACCAACATTAGCTCAGCTGCATTAACCGGTTAAACTTATGAGGTACAAAATCAAGTGGAGTGTCAGTTTGGTATACCCTTGCCGTCAGCAAGTATGGTCCATAAAGAAGTTATAATGAACATGGAGGTAGACCTCCATGGAATAAAGAGGTGTTTATCACAGGACGGGTTCACCAAAACATCACTTATTTCATGTCTTGTTGAAACAGCTATACTGTTACCCAGTGACGGCATTTTATTTCACGAAGGAGCCAAGCAAAAGCTGGAGCCACTGCTCACTCCCAGCCCTTTTGTCACCAGAAAAGTGATCCTTAACTGTTTTGTTAGCGCAACAATAGAGTGGTGTCTCTGGTTTCTTTGTGCGAAAGAGGACCAGAACAGACAGGCCAACTCACGTACAGATGACACGGTGCTTAGACACTGGGCCGACCATCCAGCCCATTCGACGCACCGTGAACAATGAAACGGGACACGCGAGAATAAAAGACAAGGTAGAGACGCGCTTGCTTGGCTGTCTGCTGGCGCCAAACACGCTTCACTGACTTAACGAGACACCGTCACAAAGTCCTGTCCACACTTTTATGGAGAGACAGACAGCCTAAAATACGAGATACTGAATCTAACCTCCTAGAGAGAAGGCTTTGGGGGAAATAGAAGGTACATTCCGGAGAGCGGTCGGCATCATCTGAAAAGAATCGTGTCCGATAAGTGATATCACAGCGAAGAAAATGACAGCGAAGGAAAACCAAACTATACTGCTTGCTTTGCAACTACTAGTAAACTACCGTTCGGCAATTACTAACCTATTACATTGCCCACGATAAGTATACTAAATTGTTCCGCTTAGGTGATTTCTCATAAGCCCACAGTTTTCAGAGCACCGAAAGGAAACAGCTGTGAGCAGACACTTGGCTTATGCCAGACTGAACACCAATATAAAGGTCAATGATTCGAGTTCACCAAAAAACTCAACCCACGTCAAAAATCCACTCATTTCCCGCTTCCTAAAAATACTAGATTTTTCTTCACAAGAAAGGAACCGAACCTTCCTCGTTGATTTAATCCTTAGATGACTAGAGTGACTTCAGGCTATTAGGAAACTTCCAAGATGTGAACTTCAGAGGAAGTCAACGGGGCAGCTCCCTAATGCTTCATAATCTCCACTCCTTTCGGTACATGGTTTTCTTTCACAAGCAATTTTTCAAAAGCAAATCTTCTCTCTACTACAGTTAGTTTACAAAAACTGAATACGCAAGGGAACCACATCAGACTTTCCAGTACAGGTTGCTACTTATTACAATTGAAAGGGGAGTTCCGTTTTGGTGAAATTCAAGAGCGATTTGAGGAACATGGATGATGATATGCCACAAACAACATCCATCAAAGCTACCCAGAACTGTTCACAACACGGAAATCGACAGTAAATCGTCAGTCCACCTAATTAATGACGGTGCACGTCACTGACTACTGTCATTCTCTGCTAAGATTAAAATCCTAATTGGTTTTGATTATCTCTTGAGTCTGTCAATAAATCGCACAGTTGAAAGTTAAGATCCTGTGCAAGAAAGTGCAAGGCAAATACTTATCATGCTAACAATCCATTCCATGCAAGTTCGGCACCTTGAGAAAGTTGGTTTTCTATCATTATAGGTTTATGTCAACTCTGCACTTTGAAAACGAGCTGCTTCACAAAACGTAGGTTTTTTGAAACAGGAACGTCTTACATGAAATGATGATGAAACATTTCTGAGAAAACGCCAAGTATTCTGTCTGCCCTGCATCATACTTATATATATCTTCACCTCATTTTCTCTTCCCATACACCATCCAGCGAGGCAAGCGGTCTCCTCGCACCAATCACCGCCGCGTTTTAGACGAGTGAGAACGGACGACGCGCCACGCTGTCGCGGCTTATGTCCCGGCTAACCGACCCCTGTTCACCCGTATACATTTCTGTTGTTATACCTCTGGAAGTCCGCTCACGATAGTTTGTCCAAACTCTTCCCAAATAAGCTCTAATTTACAGCATATTCGGCTCAATATATCACTACTCGTAAGGCCTGATGCGACAAACGCTACCTACTGGAGCTCTGCGCGCGCAATAATGATTTTTACCATAATTCGCGACGTTTCATAATTGACAGCCGGCGGGTGTATGTTAAAGATTATAAGACACAATAGAGACTATAAAATATGAGCTGAGTGACGTGGCGACGGACCCAGTCTGACTTTGGACTTCTGAAATAGTGCGAACCACTCCATGGTTTACGAAAACGACTCGTAAATTACAACAACAGTACGGCACATCCTATCGTTGTTAATATTTTTGTTGAAAATAATTGGGTATCCAGTTCGAACATAACTGTGTTTACTGCCGCTTTTTCTTACTCTCCTAGACACGCAGTTCAGCAAAATGTTTTTTTCATTTTTATGATATATGGTACACAAACTGGAAGAATGATAATATTTCTACAATTTGAATCCAGTTATTCCTTGGGTAACTGCCGAAACACCGTCAGGCATTTGGGTCATGGGAACAAATGTGTTCATAATTTAGACCTTAGCGCCTATTTTTAAATTTTGGGGCATTTGAAAACCTTACGCCCTCTTGACACAGTTAGCTTATTATACATCGTGGCCATACAGAGCGAAGCAGTTGTCATTCCATTCAAGATAATTCAATTTTAATTTTTTTCAAAAGAAGTACACGTAGCATGATATAAACTTCATCTATCGAAGGGACATCTCAAATATTGAGGACAAACATTCCACCCAAAACAACGGCATTACGAGCCACAGACAGAATAAATGGTTTTCACTCAAGGTGACAATAAGGGCAAATACTGCAAGTAACCTAGAGAACATATCAATCATAACCTAGCATCCACTTACCATTCCCAAAAGGCGCCAAAGAAAGAAAAGGGTTGAGGGCACTACACTCTGAGCGGTGGTCAATTTGACAGCGTTGACAAAAATGGCATTACCGGCTGGTGCTGCACCACGATAATGGTCAGCGTCTGTACTTCATCATGCGGTAAGGTCAAAAAATATTCGCTTCTGTTTATCAGAAAACCAGACATCTATCTATCATATCAGTGGTGTGACGAGAAAAACAGGAGAGGTCCGTGACGGAACAGAAAGAAAAAATTTCAGGGACTTTTGGCCATAAAAATGACCAAGAGGAAATGTTAGGAATATAGGTGACTGACTTTATCGACCAGCAAACCCTCTGACGTTAACATAACGACTTACTTTTTCTAAATATGAACTGCAAGTGAAACAATCCTTCCACAAAAAGTACATGGTCGTGCAAATAAATATACAACGGACTGATATTCAAATATCTTTCTTTAACAGCAAGCATTGATAAAAAAAAATCTCAAGAGGACTAAAGTGGCAGTTTCTTACGGCAGCCACCGGATATGACTTCACAACGGGTTAAAATAGCAAATCGCACGCATGCAACTTCCCCCGTGTCACTTCACCGCCAACCTTTCGTCCCTGAGCAAACCAACTGACGAAGCCGCCACACATCACACACTGTGGACACACCTCCCTGATGTTTGACACTGCAAAGAAAAGCCGCAGTAATTTGGTTTGTAGATGAGTTTTAAGTCAGTTCTACCTGCCTCGGATTACGCATAACAGAACACATATCCTGAGGGACTGCGCTTAAAAATGACCCGCTTACTGACGCCGGATGAAAACAGCGTTGCTATTAAGCCTTTGTCCGCGTGTTAGTCACTGAATGGGACTTGTGGACAAATAACTTTGATACAGACCAGACTCTGTCTAAATAGTTTGAAATGGAAGGACTCAGGTAATCTGAAACATGAGAAGCGATGTGTGAGAGGGAACTTAAGCGGTCACTGAGTTACATGTCTGACTTTGGTGTACCGTAGACCTAGGAACATCGGCTCCTGGATTGTCTCGGGCGAAGATGTAAAGGATACGTCAATTAAATCATTAAATAAACGAATCCTGAGGTTTCATACTGCAAAAAATTCTATCCTGTGTATTCCCTATATAAAGCTGAAATTAGGGAAACTATGTTACAGTTTAACGGTATACGTTTGAATTTATTAATGTGTTTATTAATTTCTGACAATGCCAAAACCAAACGATATCTGCACTCTTTGGTTTGTTCTGTACCGTCATTCCCTCGCGTCCTCGGTACTACTTTATCACAGATACAAACGTCATATGAATATGTAGTTGACATCTTCCTCTTCCAAGGCAGTTCATGTTTTCAGGTATACACAATGACAGGCCAAAGCAATGCTGTATTTCTTCAATATTTTTTTCTCAATTAAAGCTACCCCTTTTTCTGCGCAGTGCGACTTCAACACGCGGCACCCCGAGAGCTAGGCATGTCAACCAACAAAGAGTACGTAACAACTATTTATCCGTGGCATTGAAACAGGTGACGTTTATGACAGTGAACCAAACAAAGCTTAGAGCAAATAATGTATGAACCTGACTGAAGTAGCAACAAAGATGGTGCTTTAACAATCAATATT